AAACAGCCTGGGTGAAATCCCCCTTTTTCCCCCTCAGATCTCCCTCTGCTCATGTCCACTCATCAATTGCCTTCGTTTCATTTTGGGAAGGATCGGAGGGCTTCGGAGTTTCCCAGCATTTGGCCTGGGGGGTGTCTGTTGTGTCCCAGGCTGGGTGGGCTCACACGCCTCCCTCCCAAACCCCCTCCCCCTCCCAGGCTTCCCTCCCCCTCCCCCTTTCTGAGGTCTGGTTGCAAGCAGGGTGCATAGCAAGGAGTCACCCAGGACGGCCTCCCTCTGGTGGGTCGACCTTCTGCCCTGGAAGCTGTCTCGGGGATGGTGGTGGGGCTCCCCAGAGTTACGGTCCTGGGGGCTTCGACCAGCCATCCCTGGGTCCTGCCTGTGGTCTGATTGGGAGTATTTATTGCTGCTGGATTTGTGCAATTTGATGATGGAAACTGATCACAATCAGGAAGGATTTATTTTTTTCATCTTCCAGGATCCCTTTTAATTTCTTGCTGCAATTTGCTTTGGAAGATGACACAAAACACAGAATATTTTTAGGAGTAAAGAGGGATCTTGGCCTGAACTAACCCACTTGGTCTCCTGTTCTGGACCCTCCTGTGTCTCCCCCCCATGTCCCTCCTCCCCCTCCTCCCCTCCAACCAAGCCCACTGTCTCCATCTCCCCCACCAAGCTGGATCCTGCTTCCCCCCACACCATCCTCCTCTGCATCGTGAGGGGCTTCTACCCTGTGGAGATCGAGGTCCGGTGGCTGAAGAACGGGCGCCTGGAGGAGGAGGGCGTAGCCTTTGGGGAGGAGCTGCAGAACGGAGACTGGACCTACCAGCTCCAGGTGATGCTGGAGACCCAGCCCCAGCTGGGGGACGTCTACACCTGCCAGGTGGAGCACATCAGCCTGGAGGCCCCCATCACCGTCCAGTGGGGTGAGCCCCTCCCCTCCCTCTCCTCCTGGTCTGGGGACCCCATCCTGCCCTGAGAAGGGGGAGAGACCCTCCCTGTGGGGGGAGCTGGGATTGACCCTCTTGGGGGGGGGAAGCTGGCCTTGATCCTCCTGCTCAGGGGGGGCTCCTTCTCCTTCCCCAGAGCCCCGATCCTCTAAATCTGCCAGGAGCAAACTCTGGACGGGGATCGTGGCAGCCGTGATCGGGGTGATCTTCTTTGCCATGGGGCTCTCCCTCTACCTGAAGAGCAAGACAGGTGAGTCTGGGGGGCTGGATGAGAGGTTGTGGGGAGGGGACCATCCAGGGGAGGCCTCTCAGCAACCTTAGCAGATGGCAAGGAGGCTCCCCTTGGAGATTTGCTTGGGAAATTCTGTTCTCTGAGAGTCTACTGTATGAGTGAGCATCCTGCAACCTATCATGGGCTATCTATGGGGAGGGGGACCCCGTGAGTCCTCCAGCCCATGAAGGGTTCTGATTGGCTCTTTTTCTCCTTCCAGCAACTCCCATCCAGCCTCCTGAAGGTGAGTTTCTCCCCAAGTTATAGATCAGTGGGGGTGAACCTATGGCTCGGGTGCCAGACGCGGCACTCAGAGCCCTCTCTGTGGGCATGCGCGCCCTCACCCTAGTCCTAGGCCTTCAGCTGGGTTTTATTTTTTTTCCCAAAGAAATTTTATTATTTTCCATCAAAAAAACCAATCATAACATAAGTAAACACAATAACAAGTAAACCCCCCCCCCGGACTTCCCAAACCTAATCCCAGGATAATATTCATATAAAAGTAAACAAATACTAATATCTCTAACTCCACAAAATATCTTAATCTACATGAAAAGATAGAAAGAGTAAACAAAATAAGAAAATCTAAAAACCTAAATTATATTCTACCACTCTATGCTTCTTTTGAATATAAACAATCCATCTTCTCCATATTGATAAAAATTGTTCATTCGAATGATTCTTCAAATAAGCCGAAATCTTTGCCATTTCAGCAAGATACGAAACTTTCAATCTCCAGTCTCCCATTGTAGGC